ATCTGTGCGCATTGTTGCTGTTGTTGTGATTGTTGTTCTTTGTATTTTTGTATTTTTATACCACTGTAATGTTTGTATAATGTATGATTTGTTAATACATCGTACACTTGTAATGCGTGTTACCTGACTGTTATAGAGACATACAGACATACGTTCATACATTAACGTGTATCTTAGCTCATGCTTGTGCTGCCTAACGTTACTCTGTGTTAACATCGTTCAACTGTTTATGAATGTTCTTAAGTATTTTGGTATCTGCGTATGTATGTGCGTGTTTAAACATATATGCTCGCTTTCATGTGTGTGTTTGTTTGTGTGTTTGTTTTCATTTAACTACGTTTGATTTGTTTTTGTAAAATATTTGTACGAGACGAGAAGAATGTACACGAGGAGCATCTGATGTTTGCACGTGTGTGTATCTACCTGCCTATCTGTTTGCTTGTCTGTTTGCCTGTTTGTCTGCGTGTGTGTTCATGAGTTTGCTTGCATGCATTCTTTTTACCACTATGAGAGTTCTATCAACATTTGTATCATTTGTATGCTTGTTTGTCTTTTCATTTACATATTTAAATAAATGAATGTGTGTATGTATGGACGTGTCTGATCAACATTAATAAAAATGTTTGCACATACATACATACATACACATTAACAAGCGAGTTGGGTCAAAATGATAGTTTTTATGACTATATATATATATATATATATATTATATATATATATATATATATATATATATTCATACAGTATTGTATGAATTCTACCGAATTGTTGGTGTAAAGTTTGTTTTTACAATTATTTTCCGGACTTGAAATTTAGGGAAATTGTTTAATTTATTGAAAATAGAATTATTATCCTAGATCATCATGAAAATTTAATGGAACTGCTGTTATACAAATTTATCATTATCTCGATTTTTCACAGATCATCAGTGCAGGTTTGGTTTATGTAATTTCTTTAAACAAAGCAGAGTTAGTTTCTTATAAAGACACTATATAAACCAAACCAGCACTGAAGATAATCTGTGAAAAACCGAAATTAAACCTTATCTGCATGATGAATTTGGATAACAACAGGTTTATCAAATTTTTTTGATAAACTTGGATAATAATTTTCTTTTTCAATAATTTGAACAATTTCCAGAAAATTCTAGTAAGGAAAATTGAAAAGACAAACATTAAATTGATTAATACAAACAATTTGGTAGAATTCATACAATACTGTATAAAATATGGCCTCTTTCCTACATGTATTTATCAGATATATTAATTGAACCTAAACGCCCCGGTTTACGATCGTCTTTTTCTTCTCGCTTTTTCTTAACTCGTGTTAAACACTCTTTTACCAAATCTGCTTTTGCTTTTTCTGGTCCTTTTCTCTGGAACTCTCTACCTACTTCTCTGACTACTTCTCCATCACTTGCGAAGTTCAGAGCGGATCTCAAGACTCATCTGTTTTCAAAATTCATTGAGGAGCGCTGTTGAACATCGCGGAAATAGCGCTTTGTAAGCTAATTGATTGATTGATTGATTGATTGATTGATTGATATGTATATATATATATTTATTTATTTATATATATATATGCATACATTATATATATATATATATATATATATATATATATATATATACACACACACATCGTACACATGTGCAAATCATTGAAAGGTATGTGAGTGCGTGTGTAGAGTGCGTCGTGCCACAATTCATTAACGTTGTTGTTTTCGTGTCTGTTAACGTCTTCATGATGTGCGAACAAACGAACGAACAATACAACCACCACCACGACTACAACTACAACTGCTGCTGCGTTGTTGTTGCTGCTGTTGTTGTTGCCGCTACTACTACAACAACAACTACAACTACAGTTACTATTACTATACTGCACCTGTTCAAATTGGTAGTACCTAGCTAGGGACATGTGTATGTAGAAAAAAATACTGTTATCATTGAATTGTTAACTAATTGGCTGATTGAATGATTGGCTGGCTGAATGATTGGCTGGTTAAATGATTGGCTGGTTAAATGATTGGTTGATTGGCTAATTGAATGATTGGCTTGAATTGAATGGTTGGTTGATTAGTTGAATGGATAACTTAAGTGACCAAGTTGTTGAATGCGTAAGAAAATATCTTAAAAGACAAAAATGGGTGGATAAAATGAACGAATGAATGAGATGAAAAAAAGTATAAAAAATAAATTAACAAATAAATAAAGTCATAATGGAATTAAGAAACAAAGAAAAGAAGAATGAATAATTGAATGAACGAACGAACCAATGAACGAACGAACGAACAAACGAACAAGTGAATGAAGGAAGGAAGAAACGAATAAATAAATGATGGAATGAAACACTGATGAATCGGAACTTCAAACACAAGCTGTAAGCAACATGCACGTCCTATTGTTAGGTTCCTCCGTCAGCAAATGAAACGCGAACACATAACAATGAAATAAATAAATCATCCTCATCATTATGAGAGCACAATCACGTAGTTATTAAGTTGAGATGATGAAGGATAATTGTGAATAATTTCTCAATTGAAACGAAAAATAAAATGTAAATATTTATAAAATTAAATTATTGTTTAATGAGAGTTGCAATCGTCAGATTGCTTGTTGGGATGTTGAACGTTCAAGCACTCCTCATCTGCCGAAAGCTTCATTCAATTCAATCCGCCTCAGCGATCTCATAATTTTTATCTCATCAACAACAGATATTCTTCCCTCTTCCCTCAATTATAAAACATCCCTTGTTATAAAATTGAATGAGTGCATGAATGAATGATTGAGTGAGTGAGTGAGTGAGTGAGTGAGTGAGTGAGTGAGTGTAAATGAGTGTACGAGTGAGTGAATGAATGAGTGTACGAGTGAAAGGATGGTGTATGAATGATGAAATAATTGATTAAAAACGAACGAATGAACGGAGATAATTATTTTATTTTTAAAGTTTTTCAGTGTTTGCAGGCAAATATTGAAGCACGTTTTAATAGCTTCGCAGACCACGATTTTGAAACAAGTGAAATAATAATAATAACAATAATATAACGAAGTATTTGTTAGTATAGTTTTTATAACCACACACACACACACACACACACACGCACACACGCACACACACACGCGCGCACACAGAGACAGATCAGCAGTTGATGCTCTTCTAATGCGTGTTATACAATGCATGCCTACGCACAAATACAGCGAGTGTTTTTATTTATGTTTCAATACACGCATGTTCCTGCGATGTAATATGTATGTATGTGCGATGGATATTGAATCTTACGTGGAGAAAGGGCGATATCATTTGCGTGTTTGTTTGTTTGTATGTTTGTTGGTTTGTACTTGTATGTGCGCGTGTAGTATGCATTTTTGTATGTCTTTATGTATGCATGTATTTATGCGTTATCATTATATGTGGGTATTCGCGTTAGTTAACATGCGGAATGATAATCGAGTGTTTATTTGTGTGTTTGCTTGTGTGTTTGCGTACATTGCTTGTGGTGTCGGTGTGCACTTGTGTACGTGGACCCGTGTGTAAAACCATCTTGTTGTGTTGTACGTGGGTGTGTGGTTGCACGTGTGTGTGTGCATGTAAGTGAGTGAGAAAGTGAGAGAGAGAGAGAGAGAGAGAGAGTGTGTGTTTATTGCGTTTGTCCGTCGTTATTGTTTACGTTCACTAATGTGTTAAACTGCTCATCAGATAAGTTTGCTCTCAGATAAATTTATCGACAACATTTGCATTAAAAAATAGGCAGAGTGTTTTAAATATTTACTCTAACAAAAATGCATATATATTTATGCACATCATTTTTCCATATATTCACACGTACGCACGAACGCACAAAGACACACACGAACGCACAAATACACGCACGTACGAACGCACAAACACAGAGACGCACACAAACTCAACACATCACGGTTTAATATGAAGCATTTTTGTGATGGTAATGACTAACACGCAGATATAAATGATTCTAGACCTCCGCGGAAAACCTAACAAAGTACGTCACCGACATAGGAGGAGCTTAGGAGCCTCACCGACAGATGATTGACGTTAATTTATGCATTATTGGATTCAACGCCAATCAAATTAGGACACGCCTTTCAACAAATGTAAGCACTGAACATTAGGATATGTTTGAGTGTGTTATTATGAAAGAAGATTTTGTTGAACAAACTTCAAGTTCGTCGCTTCGAGTGGGATTGTTGCCTGTGCGTTTGTTTTTCATTAATTTTTACATCAAATATTTCACTTGTTTAATAATAGAAACAATATGAAACAACTTGTACTAATATTTCAAATTACAATCTTTCTAATCTAATATCCTTGTTTTGTATACTTTGTGGTATACAAAATAATAATAAAATAATAATAATAATAATAATAAACAACAACAATAATAACAATAATATAATTCGTATGACAGCAGATTGTCAATTTGTTTTCTTTGTAATCGTCGATAATATATTTATTATTTTCTGTTTTGGCCGGCGTCCGGGAACGACAACAAAAAAGTTATTAGTACTACACTGTCCTGCCGTCATTAAATTATAATATTATTGAATTCGTGTTTCAATCGAGTTTCTCTTGAACTGCTCTTCAAAAAGTTCATTCAGTTTCGCGCATTTAGTTGTTAGCACCTAATTTTGTTGATGATCTTGTTATTATGGTATCCTATCAGTTTTTTTTTTATTTCCATACATTACAAAATTTAAGAAGTGACTCTAGGAGGTGTTGATCAAGTCCGATCCGCTGATGTTCTATAATCTAATTAGGAAAAATCTTTTTGGATTTCAAACAGTACAACAGCTAAGAAGGAAATACCCTACCAACTATCTACTTCATTAATTGATTAATTAATTTCACAATTTTATGGATATAATTATTATTTAATTAATTTAAAATAAAAGACTTAAATTTTGAGTTCTGTTGGAAACTTTGAAAGAAGAAAAAATTGGTTGAAATAATTAAAAATATAATTAATTGATATTGATAAGAAGCAAGGATTGGCAGTGTCATTTAAAGAGATGTATCCCACATCCAGATTACCGGTTGGTACCTTACTTAGTTTTGAAATTGAAAAAATTTAATTGACTCATTTCAATTTAATTATTTTAAATTCAGTCATTTTTGGATTTTGTGGTTTGATTTCTTAATAAATTCAAATTCGGATCGTTGTGTTATGATTGCTTTTGTTTTTAAAAGAAAACATCTTCATAGATTTGTTAAGCGCGTTTGGAAATTTTTGATGATGGTTTACATTTTATAACATTTCTGTATAATTAAATTTATGTCTTTGTAATCAGAACATTATAACATGAAAACAACTACAATATGACAGCATGGAGATAGACACAATCACAATTATGATAACATGACAGCATGTGCCATAAAAAAACTGTAACAAATCTGCTATGCCTGGTCTATGAGCCCCTCAGACAAGGCAGTCTTAAGCTTGGAAAACGAGAGATGGCCAATTTTGTAGGATTGGAGCCAGCATGAGTGCCGTGTAGTAAAAGTTGTCGAAAAAGGTGTCTGATTTTTTACAAATTGGAAAACCTTCACAATAAATTGTTGGTTGCAATCATGCAAAATGGCTTACCTCTGACTTGTCAGTGACAGAATCCAGGTATGTGCCCTGGATTGGTTACATGCCACCCATGACATGGCCTTTAAACTTTTATGATGAGGACAACAATTTGGCTATATCTATCAATAGTGGCAATGATGCTGCATCACAGGAATGGAGTAACAACCACTATGTGGATGGCTGAAATGGAGTTAGCTGAAAAATAGATGTCCCATTTCATTTCTCTAATTTTTGTTGTTACAGGATGACTTGATTTAAATGCTACCTACTTGAAACTTAATGACTATCACATGCCTTTGCTCACTCATATGCCTTGTGACAGCATGCAAGTATGTTTGGTGGGCATCTTACAGCTTTTTGTCATCATGAAAGTTTAATTGCACTTTGATAAAGAACAATATGTTATCAGCTGTGTGTTTGTCAGATCTGAATAATAATGAAACAAAACATGACAAAATGAACAACAGAACTGTATTGGTCACACAGAAATGATGTGGTTATTACACACAGCCTTGTACAGACTATCATCTTCTTGATCTTCATTAACTCTTCAGCTATGTCTTCCTACACATACTTAACAACATCTGAACACTCCGTATTTGCTGAAATCTCTGTTCATTATGCATTCCATGAAGTATGGATTTATTTTGTATGTGTTTGTATGTATGTGTGAATGTTTGTTTGTATGTGTGGGTGTTTGTATGTGTGTGTGGGCGTTTGTATGTGTGTGTGGGTGTATTTTCAAGTCTAACTTAAAATATTAGTATATAGTACATGAATGTTTTTGTGTTTGTAAATGCAAATGTATGTGAGTGACTGACTGTCCACCATATGTTATGTGTTTGTATGTGAATACTTGCATGATGTGTGCATCAAATGGAATGTTATTGATGCCACTCCATGTGACTGGGCATTTGTTTTCATTTTAGGCAAACTAAAAATAGAATGTTTATGTTGTAAATAAATGTTTTTGGTGCAAGTTGTTTTGACATTTTAGTGAGCATTTTGTCATCAAACAACTTTTTTTGTTGACCTTAAAAATAATTTTATGAAAAGAGTAAGCTACAATTGTATGTAACACGTCTTGATGTACTCTTTGTAACGGTTTGTTTCTTGTTTCTTCATATTTTTCATATTGATTTATTTTCCAAGTTTGTTAATCAGGATTTGTTGTTTGTTACATATAGTTTTGAATGATACTCTGAAAACTCCCCATCTTCTCTTCATAGAATCAGCATGAAAAAGTCTCATCTTATTTCTATCTCCTACTAAAGCAACCACTTTGTTAACATCTGAGATTAAAATGCCTACTGATGTTATATTTCATAAGATGAAAACAAAGCTGGGGGATTCTCTTTTCACATTTTCATTTTTTGTTGTCGTTTTACTACCATTAGATCACCAATGTTTTTGCATTTTTATTTATTTTAAAATTTTATGAAAGACACATCTCACCATACCATTTTACACCACACCTCACTACACCACACGTAGCTACACCACACGCCACAGCCACCGCTACACCACTGCGCTGCACTGTACTATAAAAATTGTTAATGTTTGTTCACTGGTTTATGTTCAGCTGTTCATTAGTAGTTTCTTGTTTGTTCTTTGGATACATGCAAACGTGCTCAAATGCAGGCAGCAAACTTATTCATTTGTCTTCTGCATTCGTGCAAACATTTGGAAATTTATTTATTGCATTAATTTTTTCAATAACAATTGTTGTGTTAGTTGAAAAGTTTGAAACTTCTATTTTTTAAGAACGTTTTGCATAGTTTAGAACTTTTCATAAATTGTTGATCTGTTAAGATGGTAGTTTTGTTTTGTTTGAACTCATGAACATGCTTGCATCACATGACATTAATTTGCTACAAGCTCTAAAGACTGAATTATGGAAATGAATGAATGAATGAATGAATGTTTCACACTTGTGTGTATGGATGAAGGAAAAATGTATGAAGAAGTGATTGAAAAACAATGAGTGAAACAAATGAATAATTACTTGGAGGTGGTGCAGCAGCAGCAGCAACAACAACAGACATGACTGACTTCCAGGAAGAACATTCAACCTGTTGTATGCATGCAGTTCACTGTCACCATCCAGCCAACTCGCGTTTCATTCAGACATTTTCTTCTTTCCTTGCAGATAATATGGTATGCCCTTTTCTATCATGTCAATTTTTAGTAATATCACAATGTGAGCTTGCTGGATGCACACACACACCTTGCAATTGGGTCAGATGTAATCAAGCTCATAAATTAAATTTGCTCTTGCTAGCTGCCATAAATATAATAACAATTCTACCAGGCATGCATCATTTACCAACTAAAGTTTTTTTTGTTGTTTGTTACATCTATTGTTAATGTTCCTATGACACAACATTTATCTTTTAATTATTTTTTTTTGCTTTTATTTCAATCTTCATCAAAAAAGAAGAAAGGTTTACTGGCTGACTAACACAGCTGCTGCATATTAATTTATAACCTAACACTTCTCTCTTTTTTCTTTTTCTCTCTCTTTTTCTCTCTTTCTCTCTCCCCTATGTTCTATCTCTTCTATTATTATTTAATTGTTTCAGGTTGAGTTACATGTGATTGATGTCTGATTTGATTTTTTTTTCATCATATATTTAATATTTTACTGATGGGATAAAAACAGTTGGTGTTGTTGTGTTTGCTGTTGGTGTAGATGCTCTTGTCGATGATATATTTACAATTAATTTATTATTTTGACTGTTATTGTGGATATTGTTATTGTGGATAGTTTTTACCATTTGTTTTCTATTGTTGTTATATTTTATTATTTTTGGATTGCTACTTTTCTTATTTGAAAGATAGAAGTGCAATTAGAGCGGGGCAATGTTGGAATTTAATTGGAGACAGAGAATGTCTTTATGGCTTGGAAACCAGCAGTCATCCTGTTTATGAGCAAGTGCACTTTTATGCTTTGTCTCTTTCCTATGGCTGAATTGCATGTCATGATGTCCTTATTGGGTACATTATCTCACGCTCAGATCGATCGGATATGCTAAATGAAACATATATATTTTTTTGAAATTTGGAAAATTTTGGTTTTGATTGCTGCATTAGTAATTGTTAACGGTATCAAGTTCATTGAAAAATAAGCACGCACACACACACACAAACTCACACAAACATTCATAAATACAATGATGTATTTGTTATTTGGTACTTTAAGTCTTGAACTTGCCACCCATTCATATTCTCCTTCACTCATACCCTTTGATTAAGTGCCGCTCGCCATATCTTGTCTTCCATTTTTCAAGTAGCTTTTTGTGATGTTATTGAAAATTCATCATAACCATTAAGGTGAAGGAATTGGGAGTTTTGTTTAATTTTTTTATTTACCAACTTTGAACATACCAATTGTGTTTCATATTTCCTGCTGGTCACACAAATATTTTTCCGTCAACATCATATGCTTTGTTAATTTATTAGATTTGGGCTTCATAGCTTCAATTGGTACTTGAACTGTTATTGTTGAAGTTGTTATTGGCTGGTGTTTTTGTCCTATGAAACATAATTCTGTTTGTTTCGTTCACACACACACACACACACACACACACACACACACACACACACACACATCATCATCATCAGTGCTCCTTGCTGTATATATAGGGAAATATTGACTTTGTCAAGATGAACTTTGACGTTGTAAAAATTAACTTTGGTGTTGTAAAATTGAACTTTGATGCGAATTAGGTGTCAGGTTTCTATATTGGTTGGTCATCTTCTTTGGTCTCCTTTTCTTCATCGATAGCATCATATTCTTCTTTGTCACTATTTACGATGCTAGTTTTTATTACTTCTTTGTTTTCGTTGTTGGTAAAGCGCCGGGTTGGAAGTGAGGTTGTCATTTTTTGTTGTATATTTATTTATATATATTATTATATATTTATATGGTATGTATATTTATCAAATATAATTTGGACTCAAC